CCTCCCGGCCTCTCTCCCGGCCCTGGGCCTTCCCACCCTCCTTTGCCCGTTTCCAGGCTGCTCTGCGCTCATTTCCACTCAGCCCAGCCCCCTGGCCGTGTGCCCGATGCAAAGAGGCTCAGGCTTCACCGCAGGGCCCGTTGCCCCCTTTTTCAGCCGCGTTACTAGCGGTGACGTGTGCCCTCCAGCGTGGCTCCCGGGCTTGACATCCTTCCCTTTGGCGGCCCCGTGACACCGCTGGGCCCTGATTCTGCCCCTTCCTCTCGGCCCCTCCGACCCGTCTCCTTCCTTTGTCCATTAAATAGTGTTATTTCCCCAGGTGTCGGCCTTCAGCTCTCCCCCTGCTCTGCTCTCCTGAGGGGTGACGTTTATTCTTGGGGCTTCCACCACCTTCACGTATGTTCCACGTGGTCCGTTAGCTGTTCCCCAGCAAGACCGAGCGCGGCCGCCTTCAGAAGTGAGCGCCGTCTGCTCTCCGTGGGCCCCTCTCCCTTCCCCCTCGCTCCTTTCCCGCCTCCACACCTGCCCCTTCTCGGAATTGCCTCCCCGGGGCTCCCTGAACCAAAGTCCCTGAGGGCTGCCTTGGGAGGAAACCAAACTCCAACACCTTACAGCCCAAATATTTCTAGAACTGGTCACCCCTTCCCCTCCTCTTCCTTAATTCAGGCCCCGTTCTCCTCTGGATAATGTGAGGAACTCCTACCTTCGCTCTCTGAGTCTAAATCCCCCCTAATTTGTTCGTGGCACTGTAAGCAAGTAAGTTCTATAAATTGCCGTTGGTCATGTCGCATCACCCCCTTTGAAAGCTCCGACAGTTACCAACCTCCCCCCGCATGAAATAAACCCCGAGTTCTGAAAGTAGACGACAGGACTACTCAGGATCAGAGCTGTTTCCCCTCCAGACACAACGTCTGTCCCACTGCAGGGAGCCCCTGGGCCCCTCAAAGGAGCAGTGTTCTTTCTCGCCCCTGAGACGCGCTGAAGCTCAGACCTCTCAGAACTGTCCTAGTGCGTTTACAGTTCTGCTTCCCCTCTGCGTTTAAACAACCTGAAAACTGTGTTTCATCCACTTTATATCCCCAGGGCCTGGCAAGATGCCGAGCCTGTTGAATGGTCTCAATAAACATCAGTCCATCTATCTGGCCTCAACTTAAAGACTTTTCCTTAACAGCAGGCTCACTACCCTCCTCTAAAATGTTTTAACTGTAAAAGTAATGTAATCAGTCACATTATAAAAGGCTTTGAAAATGTCTAAGAGGAAAAAAACTTAACCATAACCTTCTTAGTATGATGTGTTATGTTTTCAGTATGCTCCCTTTAAATCTTCCATAGATGTAGTGGTTCCATTGTCTGAAAAGGTATCATAAAAATAAAAATAACCAACATTTAGATAGCACGCCCTGTGAGCCAAATACTTTTCTAGGCATTTTATACCCATGAACCTTTCATTTCCATGGTGATCCTGTGAGGTAGCTACTGTTATTATTTCCATTTTTCAGATGAAGGAAACAAGGCGCCAAGGGTAACTGACTTGTGCTAAACCACACAGCTGAGTAAATGGTAAAGCGTGGTCTGAACTCGTGAAGTCTGGCATCAAAGCTCCGGCCGTATTTCCTGGAGAGGATTACATTATGTGGCACATGGGACGCACTCAGAACTGTGTGTGGACAGTGGCATAAAGTCATTAAATGCCAGCTGTGGTCATCATTGCCATTATAAGGACCGCACTGAATATAATTTGTTACATTTCACTTTAAGTTATAGGTTATCATTAAATGAGGTGGGTTTGACCTTACATTAGGCCAGAAATAATTTTTTTAATCCTAGCATGATATCTTATTACCTATTATTTTTTATGACTATACAATATCCTCTAGAATAGCCCTGCAATAATTAATTAGTTGTTGCTGTTGATTATATTTCTTTTAATCTTCCATTACTAAACATCGTACTTCGAGCGTTATCTTTATGCATTAATCTTTCCCCCTTAATTTAGGTCCTATTTTTAGGAGAAATCCCTAGAAGTAAGAATTACGTATTAAAAGGCTTAAACATTTTTATGGTTATTTATTCTTATCAGAAATGGCTTTGCAAAGGCCTTATATCATAGCTATGTTTTAGGGAGCCTGTTCAACAATTCAGTATTTACAATTGTTATAAAATGTATTTCCATTAATACTGGCTTCACCCAAAGGACCTTCACAAAATAAACCCCATCCCTTTCCAATATGACAGACTTTCACATATTTAAATTTTTTAAAATGTTTGCCTTACCCACTCTGTATAATCTCTCAACTCTCCTTCTGACATTTTTTGTCCGTGCGAAACATCCCATCACTCCCTCGAGCATCTCTGGTCCGACAAAGTTACCAGACGTCACCCAGAGTCACAGTGTCCTCAGTGCATTCCACTGTGCCTCGGCCCCCCGAACCTGGAGATTCCCAGCAGGGCCGACAAGCTTTGCACAGAGGGGCTAGCACTTTCCTCCACCCGGGCGTCTATTTGCAGCCGCGCAGCCTGGCATCCCGTGCGCATTCCTGGCACTAACATCCACTGTTGGCATTGGGTACTTGCTGCCGACCGAATCCCCTACGATGTTTGCACAAGAACTCCTATTAAGTCGGGCTCCCCACATCCTGGACGGATGTCGATAATAGCGTGCAGTTAAGTGAAGTTATTTAATAGGTTTTCACATAAACGTTAACTAGTTTGTTTAAGTTTCTTTTCCCAGCATGCTGAGATGCTTCCGGATGCCCAAGTGGGCATATCGGTTTACTTGAGGGGGCCTCTGTGCTCTCTGCCTCTTCATTCGAGACGTTAGCAAAGATACAGGCTAAGGCATCCCCAGCACAGCCTGGTGGCACAGGATTGGGGCCCTTGGTTATGAGCAGCCAGTGTCTGTGCCTAGAGCTGCTTCACCAGCAGTGGGCCGGTGGCTGGGAAGCCACCCACGNTAACATCCACTGTTGGCATTGGGTACTTGCTGCCGACCGAATCCCCTACGATGTTTGCACAAGAACTCCTATTAAGTCGGGCTCCCCACATCCTGGACGGATGTCGATAATAGCGTGCAGTTAAGTGAAGTTATTTAATAGGTTTTCACATAAACGTTAACTAGTTTGTTTAAGTTTCTTTTCCCAGCATGCTGAGATGCTTCCGGATGCCCAAGTGGGCATATCGGTTTACTTGAGGGGGCCTCTGTGCTCTCTGCCTCTTCATTCGAGACGTTAGCAAAGATACAGGCTAAGGCATCCCCAGCACAGCCTGGTGGCACAGGATTGGGGCCCTTGGTTACGAGCAGCCAGTGTCTGTGCCTAGAGCTGCTTCACCAGCAGTGGGCCGGCGGCTGGGAAGCCACCCACATGCCGTAACCATCGGCCACATTCATCCGTCCTATTTCTTCCTTTCTTCTTTCTTTTTTATATGTTTTTATTGATTTCAGAGAGAGGAAGGGAGAGGGAGAGAGAGAGAGAAACATCAATGATGAGAGAGGCAGTGATGGGCTGCCTCCTGCACACCCCCCACTGGGGATCGAGCCCGAAACCCGGGCACGTGCCCTGACTGGGAATCAAACCAGTGACCTCCTGGTTCATAGGCTGATGCTCAACCGCTGAGTCACACTGTGTGGGACACTTTGTTTATTTTAGATGATATCAAATTAATAATAGAGGATGACTATCTGATTATGTCTGTGGGAACTGTTCTCAATTGTCTTAAAAGTCATAAAATAGCTAAAATAAGATGGTTTTTATTGTTCTAAAGTGTTAATCGAGTTGCTTACCCTCCAGGGTGCTCATTGGGTCTCCTTTGGTTGGCCAGCCCAAGAACAGAACCGGGGACGTCTACAAGTGTCCCGTTGGGAGGGGAGAATCTTTACCTTGCGTAAAGCTGCATCTACCAGGTACGTAAAGTCAAAACATTAAAGTCTGGTCCTAATTTATGCCCGGTGTTCTAACTGAAAATAAATTTCAACCAACTCAAGAAAATAGTAAAAGTATCCTATAAACACTCTTCAGTTCTTATCCTTCAGACTTACATAAAATGACATTTTGCTCCCCTCTGCCCTTCATTTGCTGTAGAAATTCACTGTAGGATAGCCATAGATTTAGAAGGTCTTACTAGGTTTGTAACTTTTAACTGCCCCATTGTTCAGCGCCCTTTGTAAACCAGTGGTAACATGAAACAACTGTTCCAAGTAAACCTGCCCATCACATTTCCTCCACAAAATTTAACTCAGTGTTTGTTTTTTAAAAGAAAATAGGACGAGAGGAATTGTAATAGATAAGTTTTAAAAGAGAAGAAGCATAAGGTACGTTTATATTGAATATAGATATTTGATAGAAACGTCACTGTAGTTAGAACATAACTAGAAAATTCCTACTAGAACTATCCAGGAATTAGAAACATCGGTGTTCTTTACAACGTTAAATACCATGGAAATGATTCATAACTTTCAGAGTTATTTTAGATATTGTGCTTTTAGCTCTCTTTTTTAAATTTCCTATTTTTTATTTATTATGAACATTTTTTCCTTTACAGTCATGAGGGTAGTTATAATAACTGCTTTGTTTTTTTTAATTCCTTTTTTAAATATGTTTTTATTGATTTTAGAGAGGAAGGGAGAAAGAGAGAAACATCAATGAGAGAGAGAGAGAAACATCGATGTGAGAGAGATACATCAATCGGCTGCCTCCTGCACGCCCCCTACTGGAGATGGGGCCCACACCCCGGGGGGCTTGTGCCCTGACCAGTAATAGAACCCGAGACCTTTTGGTGCGCAGGACAGTGATAGCCATTTCCCATCATTCTAACTTCTGGAACATCTCAACATCACTTTCCATTTGTTATCTTTCTCTTGAGGTTGGGTCACATTTTTCTGTTTTTTATGTTTAGTAATTTGGGATTATCTCCTGGATTATACTTTTGAGTGATAAGTGTGGAGATCTAGCTATTACATGCCTTTGAATAGACTTAACTTTTGTTTTAACAGGCAGTTTATTGGCTGAACTCGGTTTCCACACTGCAGGGGGCAGCTGGGCTGTGGGAAGCTTACCCTGCACGCCCACAGTCCAGGCCATTTGGGCATTTGGACAGAATATATGTGCATATGTTGGAACGCCCTTTTGTGGCTCTGCTTCCCACGATACCTCCCCTCGCCCCACAGTTGCTGCCCTGGCCCCAGTTTCTGTCCTCTGTTTTTTCAAGACCGAAACCTCTCTTTGAGGTTTCGCCACTGATGAGGGCCTTCCTTAGGGGATCACAGACACATGCAAAAGCAGAACACTCGCCACTGCTCTTCTCACAAGCGCAGGCCGCCCTCCGTTTCTGCCTGCTCTGGGTTCCTTCCCACTGCCTGCAGCTGATTGTTTCATACATCATTTTTGCTTTCCCCAGAGGTTACAGATTTTATTTGTGGAACAGTTCTGATGGGAGCTACTCCTCCGTGACTGGAAACTGGGACAGAGTTTCAATAGTGGCTGGAGATTTCAGCTACATCGAGAACAGTAGGGACAGACTGACAAATGTCAGAGGGGAGGGGTGAGGGGACTGGAGGAAAGAAAGTGAAGAGATTAGCTAAAGAACATATGTGCACAGCCCATGGACACACACAGCAGTGTGGTGAAGGCCCGGCAGGGGCTGGGTGGAGGTGGGAAAGGGGATGGGGGAAATGGGGGGGCATTTGCAATAATGTCAACAATTGAAAAAATGCTCATAATAAAACTTTTTAAAAAGAACAGTAGGGACGTATCTGCTGTAGTCCCTGATGTCCCAGGGAGACTCACCCTGGGCCAACCCCAGTATGAAAGCTCTAACCCAGGTTACTCAAGACCAGTTCCAGGGGCTTTCACTGTGAATCCCACTAAGCTCCGGGACAAAGCCCGGCGTTCAGACGCAGCCGGCGCTGTGGCCACTCAGGAAGCTCTGCTCCCACTCCTCTCAGTCTATATATAGATGGTGGGGAGGCAGGAAAGACTTCCAGGCACGCACAGCGGGACGAGTCCTCCAAGCAGGTCCACACTCGGGGAGTCAGGGCCTAGAAGTTTTGCTTTTCCTGCCCAATCTTTTGTTTTGTTTTGTTTTAATGTGAATAAGTAGAATTTCTTGCCAATGTTGGCGGTCAGCATGCTCCAGGACCCAACATTCCTAGCTGGAATGTCAAAGATAGTTCATCATGTCTTTTTATTTTATGTCCGAACTTCCTGACCACTGCTCTAACCTTGCTCCAGCTTTCTTTGTAACCCTCACGATGTCCCCATGATGTTAAAAAGGAATGGTCAGAAAAACTGCATGTGAGTTTCCTTTCCTGGTCTTCTCTCCACTGTCCCTCTTCTTGCCAGAAGTCATGCTTCATCGTTGGTCCCTTATCACATGTGGATATAACGTGTAAGAAAAGCGTGTGAGTTTACATCATGTCTATAATATTATGAGACTAGAACTTTTATTTGTTTTAATTAGCAAAAATGTGTGAAAGGCAATCCCGCGTGCTGTGCCCTGGCAGCTCTGCATTCTCTCACAGTTCTGCAGAAGTATTTGGGACGATGCCCCAGATAACGTTTCTGGGCCATAAGCCATGTTTTCGGCCGCGGCTTGTTCATCGTGTCCCGTGGTCACACGCTGAGGACTGTTTGGTTGAGTGAGAAGGTTGAGGCACGAAATGAGCAGAGCAAACAGAATGTGGTGATGAGAGGACTGTTCCACTTTGTTTTCCACCTCCATAAACTGTGCTCTGTTTTCAGTTAATACATCGATCCCCAGCGTCACAGAAGTAAAGGAGAACATGACATTCGGAGCCACGCTGGTCACCAACCCCAAGGGGGGGTTCCTGGTAAGAAAGCCCAGGGTGGCAATGGTTCGTGAACCAGGGACGCCACCATCGTAAGGCTTTGTCAGGTCCGTTCTACGGTTTTTAATCTTACAGTTTTTCNCAGGGTGGCGATGGTTCGTGAACCAGGGACGCCACCATCGTAAGGCTTTGTCAGGTCCATTCTACGGTTTTTAATCTTACGGTTTTTAATTGTTTTTGATTTCTCAAAGGCGTGCGGGCCCCTCTATGCCTACAGATGTGGGCACCAGCACTACACGACCGGGATCTGCTCCGACGTCAGCCCCACGTTCCAGGTGGTGAAGTCCATTGCCCCGGTGCAAGGTACAGGCCCCGCTCACCCTCCTTCCTGTGTGACCTCGCGGGGGTGGAGGAGACATGTATCCACAGGAGCCTGCCAGAAGCCNTGGAGGAGACGCGTATCCACAGGAGCCTGCCAGAAGCGTGGCCCGTTTTCTCAGCTACTAGCATGACCAATTTAGGCAAATGCTTGCTTTGCCAGTATATCACCGAACCTCAGGGCTATTTTTGGAACTGATATTAATGTAAACGGCCTCTACAGAACCATGTGTAAACATCACAGCTGAAGCTGCCACAGTGGTTTTAGTTAAAGGGCTAGGCTCTGGGAGGCTGGTAACCTCACTTGAAACATGCACAGAATGAGAACTGTTCTGTAAGATTCATATGGATAAAATTCCCGAAGATAACTCAATGTTAATAAAGTGAGGTGGAGGGGAGGTTTACTTGGTACGACCTCCAAAACTGTGGGTATGGAATGCAATGAATATCACTTTTGCTTTAAAAAAAAAACACACAACACACAAAACATTTTATTGATTTCAGAGAGAGGAAGGGAGAGGGAGAGAGAGATAGAAACATCCATGATGAGTCATTGACCGGCTGCCTCCTGCGCGCCCCCTGCTGGGATCGAGCCCGAAACCCCGGCCTGTGCCCTGATCGAACCGGCCACCTCCTGGTTCGTAGGTCGACGCTCGGCTAGTGAGCCCCTCCAGCCGGACTCACATTTCCTCTAAAACTGTTTTTTCTGATCGTAAAAGCCATGTGTCCACTTTGTAAACCATCCGTTGATGCTTCAACGTGAGCTTCTGTCGGCTGGGAGACACTTCCTGAGGCCTGGAAAGAGGCTCCACGCTTGCTCAGTGGGCTCCTTTCTTGCAGAATGCAGCACACAGCTGGACATTGTCATCGTGCTGGATGGTTCCAACAGCATCTACCCCTGGGACAGCGTCACCGACTTCCTGAACAACCTCCTGGAGAGGATGGACATCGGCCCCAAGCAGACTCAGGTACGCAGCTCTGTGCTAAAAGTGAAAATGTACGAATTTTTAACAAAACAAAATATTCTGAAAATAAATCAATTAGTAAAGCTAAAATATATAGAAGACATAAATTTTGCCAAAAAGATTATAGTTGGAGATTGCAAATTAGCCTCGACCCAGTGAAATGCCACACGGCTGAGGCCCCAGGCCGCGCAGGCCTACAGAGAGCTGGGCAAAGCAGAAGCATGCGGATACGCTACAGAACAGAGAACGTGAGCCCAGTGTGAGATCACTCCAGGAAAACGGACCTTTTCACATCAAAAAGTGTAAATTTTCCTAAACACAAGTTTCTTCTCTGCCATTGACCTTCCCCAGTGAACAGCCAGGGGCTGGGAGAAGCTGGTGTCTCCTCCCGCTACGCAAGTCAGGTGGCCTGCGGCCTTTAAAGGCCACTCAGAGCTGTGACTCGCACGGCCTCCTGGTCCACACAGACCCTGTGTTTTCCCTCCTGGGGACTCGCTCCCTTCCTGTGCTCTCCCTCCCCCTGTCCTTTCTCTCCTTGGTCAATAAGATTCCACAGAGCCATGAAATTAAGGCAGAAGACATCTTAAAGGTCGTTTAACCAAGAGTCTGAGTTTGCGGAGGGGCCATGAGAGGCCAGTGACCAGTTCAAGGTTCATGCTTGCTGACCACAGACCAGCTCACAGGCCCCGACTGCAGCCAGGCCTCCCTCCTCTCTGAGATCTCTGCTTCTGGGGAAGGTCCGGAGCTGTTCCCATCTGCCCGCCTGAAACAGGAGGTCTCTGGTCCCTTCCACCTTGTCAAGATGTCTTCATGGGCCAGCCACTGGGCTGAGACCAGCCCAGAGCCCCTGGTGCCCCGTTTCCTGCAGGACATCCCCAAAATCAGCTGCTGGATCTCAGCTCTTCCCTCTCTTACCCCCCTCCCGCCCCCGCTTTTCTCCCTCCTACTTCATCCACACATGTACCTTCCTGGCCAATTCTTTTCTCCCAAAGCTAAAAACAGTCTTGGAACATTTTTAAATGTCTAGTATTTTATAGTCATCTGAACATTTGATTTTACCTTTAAATTCATTGATCTCTTTTACTATAAAAACTAATCCCTGTGCAGCTCTTTGTAGAAACCTGTGCAGCTCTCACAGGCTTGAAGCTGCTGCACAAATTCAGGGAGAGAACTGGCAAGACTTAGACTTGGGGTCACGGCTTCTGCAGGGCTTGGGGTGGCAGTTCAGCTGCGCAGGGGAATAAATAACCACCAGTTGCTTACCTGCTCAGCCATCCCGCCATGATTTTCCTTTATCCAACTGTTAGAACCGCAATTAATTTTACATCTCCACAGCCCGGCTAATAGGGGAGCCATTCTTCCTCCCCCCAGAGGAGGTCCAGCTGCCAGGGTGGGCTCCGGGGGTCCTGCCTTTCTGAGAGGGAGCAGTCACTTTATCCAGAGGGATCGGCAGCCTGGGGTCCAGCGCTCCCAGCGAGGGGAGGGGCCTGGACTGACTTGCACACAGAGAGAGGGCCAGGTCACACTCTGAGTCCCCGACCCCTTTCTACAGAGAGGGAGACCTTAGGGAGCAACTGTACACAGGTATTTGTAGGATCTACAGAGTTCACCCGAGGGAACCTGATCCCTGACCAGCAAAGAACTGCTTAGATGTGGGGGTCTTTTTTTTTTTCCCTTTCTTTCTTTCTATTTATTTATTTATTTATTTATTTATTTATTTTATTATTATTTTTAATTTTTATTGTTGAGAGTATTACAGGTGTCCCATTTCCCCCCCATTGACACCCTCCACCTCGCTCCCACCCCTCNTCCAGGTGTTTGTTTCTATGTATTAGGTAGAGCCTGTCTCTTATACACATCTAGATGTGTATAAGAGACAGGTTACTGACTGTGTCCATGGGTTATGCATATATACATATAACTTCTTTGGTTAATCTCTTCCCACCCTCCACCCCCCCCTTGCCTCTTCCCTCTGAAATATGATCGCCTGTTGCCTGCGTCAGTGTCTCTGGATCTATTTAGTTCATCAGATTCTTTTGTTCATTAGCTTCTTCTTAAAGAAGACCCTTCAACTTTTCCTGTAGTGCTGGTCTGGTGGTGATGAACTCCTTTAGCTTTTTCTTATCTGTGAAGCTCTTTATCTGACCTTCAATTCTAAATGATAGCTTTGCTGGGTAGAGCAATCTTGGTTGTAGTTCCATGTTTTTCATCACTTTGAATATTTCTTGCCACTCCCTTCTGGCCTGCAAAGTTTCTGTTGAGAAATCAGCTGACAGTCGTATGGGTGCTCCCTTGTAGGTAACTAACTGCTTTTCTCTTGCTGCTTTTAAGATTCTCTCTTTGTCTTTAACCTTTGGCATTTTAATTATGATGTGTCTTGCTGTGGGCCTCTTTGGGTTCCTCTTGTTTGGGACCCTCTGTGCTTCCTGGACTTGTAAGTCTATTTCTTTCCCCAGGTAGGGGAAGTTTTCTGTCATTATTTTTTCAAATAGGTTTTCAATTTCTTGCTCTCTTTCTTCCCCTTCTGGCACCCCAATAATACAAATGTTGGGCCTCTTGAAGTTGTCCCAGAGGCTCCTTATACTATCTTCATATTTCTGGATTCTTTTTTCTTTTTGCTCTTCTGGTTGGGTGTTTTTTGTTTCCTCATGTTCCAAATTGCTGATTTGATTCTCAGCGTCCTCTACTCTACTGTTGATTCCCTGTAAATTATTCTTCATTTCAGTTCCTGTAGCCTTCATTTCAAATTGGTACTTTATTATGTTATCGATTTTCTCAGTCATTTCCCTAATAGTCTGCTTAAACCTCCTTATAACCGAAATTCTGAACTCTGTATCTGTTAGCTTGCTTGGATCTATTTCATTTAGTTCCTCTTCTAGAGATTTCTTCTGTTCTTTCCTTTGTGACCTGTTTCTTTGCCTTCACATTTTGACTGCTTCCTGGTGTTTGTTTCTATGTATTAGGTAGAGCTGCTGTGTCTCCTGGAATTTGTAGAGTGGCTTTGTGTAGTAGGTGTCCTGTAGGGTCCAGTGGCTCAGCCTCCCCAGTCACCTGAGCTGGGCCTTCTAGGTGCTCCCCTGTGTGGACTGTGTGCACTGTCCTGTTGTAGTTGAGCCTTGGTTGCTGTTGGAGTCCCTGGGAGGAATTGACCCCCAGGCCAGTCAGCTGTGAGGACCCGCTGCAACTGCAGCCAAAGAGCTGCTGTGCTGGAGACACCTCTATGGATCAGGATTTACTTCAGTGGGGCTTTGGTGTTCACCAAGTGCACCCCGTGAGTGTGTACCTCGTGGATGTGGTAGGGTTGTAATCCAACATGGTCAAGCCTGATCACCAGGTGCACTGTCTCTGGGGCCTCAGGGGAGGTGCAAAGTCAGCCTGTGCCAGTGCCTTGCCCAGGGCCACCCAGCATGAGCTGCACAGCAAACCATAGTTGGTGGCTACTTGTGCTGGGCTTGGCGGTGCCCAGGAGAGGCCCAGCTATGAGCCAGTGCAGCTACCGCTAGTGCCAGGCCTGGGGCCGCTTATCAAGCTGAATGGGGCAGCTGCTGCTTGTTTGAGAGATTTTAGGAAAGTCCTAAGCATGGAGCTCGAGAGGCCACTTGCACAGAAAAGCC